GTGGACTGTGGCCAGCCTATATGCTGCCTCAAAACCCTGACACACCCGTCTCTCCCTGGCCTTGTGCTGTTCTCATGCCAATATTCACTCACTTTGCAACTGCTTCTGTTGCCACTCCTCAGTTTAACACCTAAATGACTGTGTTGTCTTACATTCTGCAGCACTTGTAGCAACTGTGGCTCAAGCTAAATTGTACTTCTCACACTTAAAGCCCTGAGATACCTGAGCCTGCAACAGCACACAAATTCATAAACTGTGAGTGAATGTGCCTGATGGGAAGTGTCATCGGCTTCCTGAGCTGCAGGGAGAAGCTTTTGTTTCAGATGTTATGTAACATTTTTCTCTGTGCCAACAGAGATACTCGCTTGGTTACAGCATGTTTCTCTTGAGCTACACTTGACATTAAGTTGCTTTGTGATAGTGCTGCTTTTAAGACTTGTGACAACATTGGAGCAGCATGGAAATATAGTGAATACTAGCCTGATTTTAGCCCTTTGAATCACTGCCCACATCTCGGATTTCTACTGCAAATAATGGTTATCAGGCTAAATATGTTTTCTAATTATTTATAAATGATATCCAAGACAATTTGGTGATTTTGGTGTAAGAAACACTGATTTGGCTTCTACTTCAAATTTGCATTTGTCAGAAGTGTAAAGCTGCAAGTAAGAGCTGAAACAATTCATACAGTATTATGACAAAAAAGGTTTTATATTGTTTGTCATTTTTAAAAAAGAGAAATCAAACTTTTTTGGTTTCAGCTACTCATGAGGATTTTCTTCATTTCTCAGGTTTATGTAATTTGTATCTCAGTTGGTTGGACAGAGGGAGGTGGAGACGTCTCCGTGGAATCTGTAGGCGTGCATCAGGCATTTTTCACTATTTTCTAACATTTTATTGTCAAAATAAATAATAGATTGATTGAGAAAATAACCAGCAGATAAGATGGTACTTTAAGTCGTTAGCAGTCACTAAACTACAGGGCTGCAATTTACAATTATATAAATATTTTCAATGAAATGCTTGGTCTAAAACATGTCAGAAAATAGTGGTGTCCTTCACAGTATCTCAAGCTGATGACTTCAGATGTCTTGTTTTGTTCTACCACTTTTGAAAAACCTAAATATATTTGGTTTACAACAATGTGAAGCAGAGAAAAACAGGAAAATCTTACACCTGCAATTCAGAAAACTGTCTTTTGTGGCATGTCTGCTTCATGAATCATGGTACATGATGGTTAACCAATTTTAAAAATTGGCATTTCTGCCAGTCAACTAATTGTTCCAGCGCTTGTACCATCTCTACCTTACAAAAAAGAACAGATGTGAGTATAATGAGTGTAACTGCAGCCTTGTTATATCAGCAACTTAATGCACAGTTTGAGCCATACTCACACATATCAGATGGAGAAGTGAAACAACCCGCTGTCATACATTGTGCAGACTGAACACTGTCCCTATAGAGGTGAAGGAGCGGCCAGTCTTTACATGATATTGCTGACATCTATCTCTGGCATTGATCATTTTGATGCACCACCCTTTGTATAAAGAACATATTTGATGCAGTTATGTTATATCAAGCATGAACAAAAAGAATGCGTTTAATGGGAAAAAATGTACCTTAGCTATCGTCATGCTCCCTGGCTGTGTTCAGTCAGGTCTCAGAGCTCAAACCTTGATGTGACTTCTTAGCTGTTTTGTTTGTTTTCCTTTCAAGTGTGTGTTTTGCAGTTTTATTCTATTGATCAGAGTCGTGAGTAGATTGGGTGCTGCTGAAAAAGTCCAAATGTCTCATTGAAGAGCACTTTTTTCTCCCATGTTGGTCTCTGGGCATTTGCAAAGCACCGTGGATGTTGTTTCCCTTTGTCTGTGTCCAGTGTTGTGCCTTTGACCTGTGTTGTGCACAGCTGTTCTCCCCTAATGTCATGAGGTGCCTGTTCTACCTTAAAAAAGCCAGGAGGCACCAACCTGAGCTATAATGTATAATGCAGTCTTTAGCTTGGGTTCTGATGCTAGTGCTTCAGTGAGAGGCAAGCCAAGCATCCGTCATCCCCCGCATTATTTAGGTTTTGTTATACATGACTACAAGCTGAAATTACCAACTGCTTTTTTTGTGCCACTGCACCCACAGCTCCTTAACACTCCTGGAGATTCAAAGCAGTGTCTGTCTCTACTGTAAACACTCATGGTTTGTTGGCTTTGTGTGGACGGCACTTCTAAAAAGGAGGAAGCAGGTTTCCCTCCTCTGGTTTTATCTTAGTAAAACTCCAGCAGTGCACTTGTTTTCAGAAATCAGTTTCACTTGAAACTTTCGGACTTTTGTTTTTCTTGAGCTGCATGGTGAAGAAATGATCCCACTTTAGATGTATGTAGTCAACCCTTAAAGCACTTAGTGTACCTGTCATCTTTGTGAACCCAGTTTAAGCTTACCTTGGTTGCATAGTTCAGTGGTTCCCAACCAGAGGATGGGCTGAGACACAGAGAAGATGGTTAACCAAACCAAGTTCTGCTTTTTCCCTCTAAATTAGCTTTTTATTAACTGCACTATCAGCTCTAGCAGTGGGGTCCTTTGGTCTGTCCACTACTTTAGTCCAGACTGAACTATGTCAACCATTATTACCATGACACTTTGTACAGACATTCATAATTTCTAGGGTTTGAATTTTATGACTTCAGTGATCATCTGCACTTTACTTAATGCTAAATTACAAATGTTAGCATGCTAACATGCCAAAGTACAATGGTAACATGATGAACATTGTCATTGTGATTTATCGTTTAGCTCAAAGCACTTCTGTGCTGAGCTGCAGCTTCACGGAGCTGCTAGCATGGCTGTAGACTCCAGTCCTGTTATGGCCGTGCCAGTTGGCTGGATGGGTCACCACTTAAGTTCAGACTGGAACCATAGACTGTATCTTTTATCTTAATGTTCAGCCTACGATTGAAGCTAATGACATTCCAATCAGACTTTGTGATTTTTATGCTAATTAACAAATGTTGGTATGGTATGGTACGAACACATTATACCTGTGAAACCTCAGTGTGTTAGCATACTGACATTAGCTCAGAGCACTGCTCTCACAGCTGACATGAATTACTGGCTTTTTTTTTTTTTTACTTCTTCCGGACTAAAAATTACTTAGAAAACAAGGATAATAAATCACTTCTTCTTTTAACAGGTCACACCTGTTAAATACGCGTGACTTGTGATAAGGGGTTGTAAATCTTTAATATGAGAGGTCATTAGCCAGAAAGCTTGGGAACCACTGACCTAGCTCAGTGTGATTATAACATTTTGAATCAAGCAACCATTTTTTAAAAACAAATAAAAATAATAATGTTTGACCATTGTTTTCTACTTTCACCTGCAATAGTCTACAGACAGTGTGCAATGTTAACAAATCTGCAAAATAAGTAAATATCCGTTGTCTGGGCATGTGAAAACATGAGCGCATGCGTTCTAGGGATTACGATGTCATGTATTGGATTTTGTCTGACCTCTGTGTTAGTGCAAAGTGTATGTGATGCATGGTGGGGGGAGTAGAAGGAAGGCATGGCTCTGGGCTGTAGGTGTAGATTTCTAGTGTGGAGCAGTCGGTCTACAACTACACATTCTTTACTCACTGTTTCTTTGTTTTGTATCTTTGTCACGTAAGTTTAACTTAGATAAAGAACATGAATTAACCAGCCAATCAGAGTGCAGAGCCCCCCCCAACCTTGGTTTATAGTGCTTATATGACCTGCAGGTCAACACACAGAATTTTTTTTAAATTAATGGGTCACTTTACCAGTTATTCTGTAAACGCCTGCATGCGTTTGTGTACATGCACACACGTACACTCATTTCGACATATGTCACCTATTAACAGTTACTTTGTGTTCATTAACAGTATTGATGTCAAATGTGAATTTTGTCAATGGAGACTGTGGAGAAATGTTTGGAAGCTGACAAAACGTTTTCTCTCCGTTTCACGTTTATTTATTTTATATTTTTTAAATTTTGTCTACAAATGTTATTTCTTTACATGTAACAGTTTTAACAAAACCCAGTCTGGTTTTTAATCATAAAATGTCTGTGTTTGAAAATGTGGATTGCTGTCTCATTATTGGTTTCGTTTACTGTGGATTTTTTTTTTTAAAGTGATGACACATGAGCACAAGGCAGAATTTAGTGTTATCAAAGGTTTTAGTATGGATGGGCCAACCAAGCACAGGCCCGGGGGCCCTTAGATCAGAGAATTCTGAAAGGATGATTAACCTTTCTGTTGGAAAGTTAATCAAATGACTACAAAAAACTACAAAATAATAAGAAACTACAAAGGGATGCAAAACCACCAAAAAGACACAAAATGACTAGAAGGAGACAGAAAAAATCCTCCAACAGGAGGTCAAGATTCAGTCACCATTTAGTCAGCAGGAGAGGAAGTATTCAGGTCTTTTACTTTCAAAGTACCTTAATGTGAGGCTGAAAATGTATTTCACCAAACACATCCAGCATCACTGATGGGTGTGTGTGAGTGTGCTCTGAATGTTGCTCTATTGAAAACTAACAATTCACAATTTTACTCAAAGGTACAATGTGCAGGTAAAATGGGCTTTGTCAGTGTTACCTTATAAATTACTATAGATCTACTATTTGATGATTATTACTGATGTAGAAACATGTAGACAGGATTTTGATGCTGTGTTAATTTTACCTTGAGCTGAGTGGATTAATTTACTGTATAAACATGGATGTGTTTTTATGTCTCTTACAGATTTTAAAAAATCTGGTTACTAGTAGTAGTGCCAAATAAACGTAGCAGATAGACGTATAAAACTGCGCAAAATTACGCAAGTGCACATACATCACAGTTTAAAACTAGTTTTTGCTTATCTCCACTGGTTTAACTTCTCACCTGCAGTACACTGTGTAAATAAACGTACAGCACAGTGGGAAAATGCTGGCATACAGAAGCTTAAATGTACATTAGAGCGCCATTTTACACAGCGACGTTATAACGATGTCGAAATAGCTGCTTTACACGGCTTTGGGCGGCGTCCTGGTTGTTTTACGGATGATAAAGGGGCGTCCTGGTAGGTTTTACGCCGTCCAAGGCAGTGAGTATTTATAATTTGGCCTGCCATAGAAGTAGCTGTCTGCCCGTGTCACGGTGGGAGGAGAATGACGTGATGGGATGCGGGTTGTGCAGGCCATGATTCGCCGCACTCAGGCCCGGGACTCTGCGTGAGGAGCAGCGATGATGGACACAGTTTGACAAGCGGCGATAATTGATACTTTTGGCTTGCCGTATCCTGCTGCTGTGGTAGTCGTCGAGGAGCTGTATGCCGATTCCATTTAACATAAAAACGTGAGTAATATATGTACTTGTATTTATAGATACAAGTGTTTACATTCACGTAAGATTAATCGTCAAAATCGCTTCCTCTTTGTTCCGAAAGTACCGAGGCGTTGATATTCAGGATGTTTATCAGTGAGTGTTAAATATATTGATGGAAACAAAAGATATTTATGAAAATTTAAAATTTAAAAGCGACAATCTCAGTGTAGCGAACAACTAGTGAAGCTGCGCGGGGTATGTCCTGCTGTGTGTCCGTGGCAGCCGTAAGATGAAATAACGAGTTTCCACGTGGGTGAAGATAGAAGAAGTAAAAATGTGGACAGAGTAGATTTTCAATGTACGCTCTCTGCTGCTTGGTGGAACAATGCGGATGTAAGTGTCTGACATGTAACAGGTAGGAACACGTCGCTGTCATCCCACCAGTAGCATCAGCTGCTCAGTGTCACCTTTATTTCCAGAAGGAGAACTCATCCCTTCTCCGCCACAGGCATGTCGAAACAGTTACAGAGAGCAAAACCAGGATACCACTACTTAGTCAGTCAGACTGCGGAGATGTGCGGGCGTTGCCCCTCACTGATGTGTTAGATCCTCAAAATGTGAAGAAGTACATGGCCACGAACTGTGCTCTACTTTTATTATAGGACTGCTTTCATGGTTTCAGCTACAGCCCCAGTTTGTTCCTCTCACTGTTGCCATTACATTAGAGTCAGAGAGCTATGAGAATTTTGGGTTTGCTGTTTCCAGAATCCGCAGGGACTTTAGCAGTCTGGGTGAAAAGATATTCCATCTGTTGCACAAAAAGAATAAATTGAAACAATATTGGAAATTTGCTTTCTGAGAACCAGGTGACAGTTTCAGTGTCATTCTCTGTAGTGTAAGTACGCTACCACCAAGCAGCCACTTAGCTTAGCATAGAGACTGGAAACAAAGGGGAACTGTTAGCATGGTTCTGTCCAAAAGTAACAATCCACCTAGCTGCTCTTCTAGAACTTAGTTATTCCCATGTTCTATTTTGTTTGTTTAATATGCTCAGAAAATGGTGTAAACACAATAACTTGCTATTTGAAATTTATGCTAACTCTGAAACTGTAAAAAAAAAAAGTGAAGCAAAGATGAAAAACGGATGGAAAAGACAAAACCAAGTCCAGCTGTACATGTGTAAATAATAATAATCACCTTTATTGACCAAGTATGTTATACACACAAGGAATCTGTTTCCGGTACAGAACCGAGGCAGCCATCCCCGGTTGGGAGATGTCTGCTCTACCCACTGAACCACAGTTGCCCCGAAAGTTTAAGTTAAGGATAAGGTGTTCTCATACTGTCATGGATGGATAACTGCACAGGCCAAGAGGGCTGTATGAAGTGACGTATTACTTAGTTTAAAAGTCACTCATTTAAGAGATGCAGAACATAAACAATTAATCATAAAGACATGAAAAATGGCTGAAAAAAGAGAATAAATTATTTCAAAAATATGTGAAATGACTAAAAACACAAAAATATATTTCAGAGATGAAAAACGGATGCAAAAGACAAAACTTCAGTAAGAGAAAATTACCACAAAAAGAGGTAACACAATCATAAAGGGACACAAAATGACGACAGACGACTAAACCATAAAGGCAGGACACACAACACAACTACAGATGACATGAGTCCTATGTAGAAGGGCTGGGGCCTCTGACCTGTCTGTGCCCAGAGACTTGTTGTCTCCGAATCCGTCCAGGCACTCAGTGGGTTTGGCAGCCGAGTGTATAAGGCAGATTACAGTGATACTAGTTCTTGGAAGCAATCTGAGATGTTGCTCTCTCTGTAGTTGGTACATGTGGAAATGGTATTAAATGACCTTGGGAGAAATTCTGCATGAACATTTGCACAGAGGGCTGTTCATTCGAGTGTTTGTACTAGTGCACGTTAGTCGACACTGGTGAGATTCCCTTTGTATCCACCCAGGCATATTTGTTATCACACCCATCTGACCTCTCATGTTAAGTAAGCCACAACCTGAGCTGCACACAGAAAGTCCTGTTATTTCCTGGTTTGAAATGCTGATAAAACTGATGTGATGACCTTTTAGCCCCGAAGCTCCTACAGGAAATGTGCAAAGCTTGCATCGTCCCTTCAGACTTGCGTTTATAATGTTTGGCTCTGACTAAAGTTTCTCTAAACATTGTGAGAACATAGCAGAGCTGGCTATTTGCCATCTCAGGAGCATTGCCAAGAACGGGTCACTTGTTTCATTGTAGGATGCACAGACCTTTTTTATTCATACCTTTGTTTTGAGCCAGCTGTGACTCAGATTACCGGGAACGGAACTGATCGCCTCCATTTTATATAAAATATGGCCACCAGAACATCTGAGCAGTACCTCTAGTTCTCCACTGGTGCCTTTTTTTGTTTGTCTTTTAAAGAGTAGGCAGTAGTAATGCACAGTTCAAGTGAAACTATGAATCAGTAGTTGGCCATGTTAACAGTCACTAATCATTAACATTTATAAAATACACTGTTTAACTTCAGAAGTGATCAATAACAGATAAACACTAAGTTAGTTTAGTACAAAGTAAACAATACAAAATAATGACAGTTTAAAATTGTGTCTGTTGCTGTTCAACAATTGGTCAGACAAAATCCCAAGTACCGACTGTGCTAAACACTGCTGCACACCTTACAGGCATCACTGGAGAACAGACTTCATCCATCCATCCATTTTCCTCCGCTTATCCGGGACCGGGTCGCGGGGGCAGCAGTCTAAGCAAAGATGCCCAGACTTCCCTCTCTCCAGACACTTCCTCCAGCTCCTCCGGGAAAATGCAGAGGCATTCCCAGGCCAGCCGAGAGACATAGTCCCTCCAGCGTGTCCTGGGTCTTCCCCGGGGCCTCCTCCCGGTGGTACATGCCTGGAATACCTCCCTAGGAAGGCGCCCAGGAGGCATCCGAAACAGATGCCTGAGCCACCTCAGCTGGCTCCTCTCGATGTGGAGGAGCAGCGGTTCTACTCTGAGCTCCTCCC